GGGCCCCGCCCGGCCGGGCTACGGCGTCCGTACTCAGTATAATTTTGATATAATTTTGATATAATTTTGATATAATTTTGATATAATTTCATGGTAACCGGACCGGGTTCCAGACAGTCCGGTGTCCGGTGTCCAGTCCCCATGTCCGGATGGAGGCCCCTGGGGCAAAAAAAAAAAAAAGAAAGGGGCGGCCCAGGACGTTTGTCGGGTCCTAGCCGCCCCTCGAAAAATAACGGGTTGATTTTTAAGTGTCCTTTCACCCCACCGGACATGGCCTAGAGGTCCAGACACAAGACACTGCAGGTTTTTGAGGTGGGGGGTTTCGCACAGGCCCGAGCAATTTCAAAGTGGCCGTTTCGACGTGGCGCCCGCCGCTCCTGTCCGTTAGGGAGAGAGAGAGAGAGAGAGAGAGAGAGAGAGAGAGAGAGAGAGAGAGAGAGAGCACTGACAGTGCTGCCAGTCTGAAGACTCTGAGGTTCTGAATTGAACTGCAAAGTTCGAACTTTTAAGTTATATATGAAGTCATGAACTTAAATTACTAAATCCAAAGTTCAAAGTTAATCATACTTTTTTTCTTTTTAATTCTGTGTTTCTTTAGTCTTGTGCCTGCTTTGCACTGTTTGCAACTCTGCATGTCTGTTAATTAAATGTGCTGGTTGATTTGCTGCAAGACACGTGCTCTGCTGCCTGAACTACAGAGTGCAAAGCAGGTAAGTGCCTGCCAACACCCCCACCTCCCACCCACCCCCGTTTTTTTTTTCTTTTCGGTCCGGAAATTTTTGCACCCCGGGGACCGGTCCGGACTGTCCGGTGTCCGGTGATGTCCGGATCACCGGACAGTCCGGACCGGTCCAGACACTGGTCCGGAGGACAGTCCAGAAGTGTCCAGTGTCCGGGTCTGGGGTTACCATGTATAATTTTGATATAGTTAGTTGTCCCTGCAATCAGACTCGCTCTCTTCTTTGCTTTGCATACATGCAAACAGATAGCAATTCACACTGGCGCCAAGCGCCCACTCAAAGCTCAGAGATATGGAAACCAAGAGCACAGTTCAGATGCAAACTCGCTTCATCCGGCTATGGCGCAGCAGCGCCCGTACACCCAACTCTCGTCACTGTGTCCAACACCACTGTTCACACGTACTCAATTCTGGATCACCCTGAATAACCCACGCACACATACTCTGTATCACACACACACACACACACACTGCTATCTCTCACCTATGGCGGCTATGGCCGCTCGCTACAACTACTATGGCTACGCTATC